AGAATAGGAGGAATGGTAGTAGAATAGAATAGAATAGTAGAAGGAAAAATAGCTAAGGATATCTTAGCTTAATGTCTTAATTCCTTAATTAATTTATGACTAGCTATAGGGTGATTTTAAGGGTGTATTTATAGATGATTCCTTCTAGCATAGGCCATTCGAATATTGAATGATCTCATAGCTGGGTGATCTCATAGATTAGATCACCATTTGCTAATGGTTGAAATCAATGATGATCAATGATGATCCATGACCATAAGGTTAGAACCATAGATATGATCAATGATCAACCATAGCGGATCAACCCATGGATATGGTCAACAATCAACTATAGCATGGTTTTCACCAATAATTATATAATTAGGGGTTATCTTATTCACTATTTCACCCTAGCCATATTTACCTGAACTCTTACAAAAGGTGGTGTTACCTATAGTTATCTGATTATTAACAACTACAGCCTATAATTCAATAAGATATGTAATACCTACCTTAACCCTAAAGAATAACACAATTATAATTATATACTTATAAGCAATGAGTCAGTGTTGCCTAAGTAGGTATCTATCCTCATTAAGCATGAATTACTAATGATTAGCAACCATGTTATTTCAAATATGTTCAAAAGCTAGCCATGGTACTCTAAACACCAACTCCAATACAAGTCCTCAAGCTGGGGTTGCAAGTTGTATACAGTCTGAAGTCAGTAGTCACTACCATCCATCTTCCATAGTGACGTCAACCATTTCTAATCAATTTCCATCAACATCATATCTGGGGAAGCCATCATAAATAAGCATTCTAAGCACACAATGATTACTTTTAATCATTCCAGATAATAAGATCATCAATGGTGAAATATTCCATCACTATAATAACATTATAATGTGATATTAATGTCCATGTCACAAGCAGCAGAGGGTCTATAGATTAAGGTAATAATATAATTAATAAAACTAAACCTAACATCTAAGTAAGGATTACATGTCTTCCATACTATCAGACTATAGATTCTATTAGAATAAGGTAATAGTACTGCTAAATATTTGACATCACACTCCATCAACAGCCATCCTCAATAACATCATAATAATCATTACACTAATCACAACCAATCACCACTGATTTTTCTGCCAGACATTCAAAGTAAGGCAAAGAAACCCCACTTCCCTTATCACCCTTAGTAACTATATGGATACGGTACTTTATGCTAATGCTTATGCATTATGCTCCTATGCATAAAACAGAAACACATGTGCCACTTCCACAGTGTGAAGGATAACTAATCGGCGACGGCAGTCGGGGCTTTCTCGCTCCAGTCGCCGATACCCTCGTCCCGTCCACTGATTTCTCTACGTCTTTCCACGGACCGGACCCTGGACGTCTGTTTCGTCCGAGCGAGCTTTGCAGAGCCGAGGTCCGAATATTTGCGGTTCTGTTCGTACGAGAAGGACGAATCAGTCACTTGTCACTTGATCGTATCATATCAAATAATTGCTGGATTAGGAAGTAAGTTTCTCATCATTGTAAATTTGGCACTGGTCTAGCTGGCTAGCTCTAGCATGTGATGCGCAACTTAGGCCTATTCTTCCATGCAGTGGATAGTAATGCATAGTTGGTTACACAAAGGTTGGCAGGTTATGAAATACTATCTTTGAACTACATGTACAATCGAAGCGAAATGTGGTCGTGCGACCTCGTCTATCCTAAACGTCCAACAACTCACCTCATCCGCAGCTGCCTGTCCCCCTCCGAGTGCAGCGACCGACGGTTAAATTAAACACACTGGTGGTAGTAAGGATTCTGCTTAACACAGGTGTAGCCGCTCTCGCAGTTTGTAGGGCCGGTCCAGTTGATTCCACCACACTGGTACCAGTGCTTGGCGACGCCAGAGGCAGAAGCAGAACTCGAAGCAGCAGCGGTCGCCGGAGTGGTTGGAGTAGCACTGGGCAGAGCGGCCTCGTCTGCAGGCTCGGAGGCATCGCAAGCAGAATCAGAGTCCGAGTGAGAATCTGAAGTCGAAGCAGCGGTGGTCGTCGGGGTTGTCGAAGCAGCACTGGAAGGCTTAGCAGCCTCAATAGGCGTGGGAGCGGGAGCCTCGGCTGCAGGCACAGAGGATGGAGTAGGAGTAGAGGAAGGGGAAGAGGTGTCGACGACCTGAGCCTGGGTAGGGGCAGAAGTGGTTGGCTTGTTCACAGAAGTAGTAGAGCCGGTGGTGGAGGAAGAGGAAGAGGACGAAGAGCCGGTGCCGCTGACAAAGTACTTCTTCAGAATGGGAAGGTAGGTTGAGTAGGCAGGACCGCTAGTAGGCTCCAGACTGTACATATAAGTTCCCCACCAGGGACCGGCAGACCACCACTCAGCACCAAGCCAGACGTCGCTGTTCTCGGACATGTAAGAGAGAAGGCCCTCAACGGCCGTCTCGCACTGGGAGTTGACACCACCGGCGAACTCTCCGAGGAATCCTTTGAGACTGTTGTCCTTCAGCCACTGAGTGGCAGACTTCACACGCTCCTGGCCGATAGTGGAGCTGACGCAGGACTCAGAGGTACCAGAACCGTCCGAATCAAGGTACTGGTGCATCTCAAAGACGATCTTGTCCTCAGGATCCTTCAGACCCTTAAGGTTGTCATTGTTGTCAGTCCAGGTCCAGGCACCACTGTAGTGGTTACCCTCAACAAAGATGTATTGCGTCGTGGCACCGGCAGCACGGATACCATTGATGGCGGCCTGGTTCAAATTGAGCACCAGAGTCTGGTCCATATCGTGGTATTCATTGTCTGGAAAGATCAGCCTAACAAATCCAAGCAATCAAAGCTGAAATGTCTCCGAGTGGTTGGGAGTCTCACTGGTATCGAAGATGACCTTGTCATTGGAGGCAAATTCGCTAGCGACGGTCTTCCAGAATGCCTGGAAGTCAGAAGTAGAGGAAATGATACTTCCAGAGCTGTACGGCGGAATTTAGTTACCACTCCGCTGGTAAAGACCAACCATGACTTACTATCTTCCATAGTTATGAGGATCAAGAACGGCATAAGCACCACTGTCGGTAATGAACTCGACGGTCTATCGCCGAATAAGCATCTCATCACGTCAAGCAAATGTCTCGGCCCTACCTTCTTCAGGTCGCTTAGGTAAGTGGCATCCGGTTTACCGGTCATGGAGCTGGGCACCAGACGCTCCATCAAGAATGGAACACGGAAGATGTTCATACCCGCATCCCGCAGAGTCTGAATCTTGGAGGTATCGGGCCATGTGTAGTCGGTACCCAGATTTCCGGGGATGCTGCTACCAAATTCCGCACCAGATTCGTTGATACCGACCCCTGCAGGCGTATAGTGTTAGTCTAATCGAGATACCATACCACGGCAGGAGTATCGCCACAACATACAGGTAAATCCAGAAGAGCGTTTTTTGGCCATCTCGCGTACGGGCAGAGCGCTGACAAGACCAGCAGCGCTGGCGGCCATGATCAAGTTGCTGATTCTCATTGTGGTGGTTTAAAGAATGTGTGTCGAGTTTGTCGAAAAGCAGTAAAGTAAAGGGCGAAAAAGAAAGACGAAAGACGAAAATCAAAGTCTAATGAGTGACAAGAAACCAGTCTTGAGTTATAGGGGGAAGAGAGAGAGGCCCTCAGAGAACTGGTCCATCGTGCTCATGTTATATAGACCTCGTCATATCGGAATATGCGGTTCAGTGATCCCCGTTCATTTCCAAAGCTCCACAGCTTTAATATCGAGGCAAGCTTCTCTGCCTCTGGCATGGCTCCACAGCGTGGGTCACATCGATATCATATAATTCATATTGCAAGGGATCAAGCATCCGTCCAAGCTTCGAGTTCTCCATTAGCTGTGGCCACTAGCCACTAGCCACTAACCGAGTTCCCTGGCAGCTCATCTTTTGACACTTCGGAAGGTGGTAAAAAGAACAAAGTCGACATAACTCTCCGGGCCTGAGCCATGAATTCGATGATGCATCATGCATCATCTAGAACGAAACGTTGAACAATCGTAGTGGCGCTATCAAGGAGGAGTGGATGGAACCGATCATTGTCCGAGACGCGATATTAAGTCTTCATCTCCGGTATTCCAGTCAACCCAGTTCTTCGGCGTCCAACGTGAAGTGGGACAAAGCAGGCTCAGCGATGGCCAGAAGGCTTAGTCGGCGAATAACTACACTGGTGCCTGATCCGTATATTGGATCCTGAGTGAATTTGATTAAGGAGACGGCGAGGAACTGTTCCAGACTCGGATAGCATCATCGGCATCAGACAAATATCCAATGCAATTGCTCGATTTCGTTCGGTGTGGGTAAACCGAAGGATGAGAGGAGCTCTGCTTTAGATGAAACAGCGTAGCGCTCCAGGAATGTGCTCGTTGGGCGGAGAAATTATTTCGGGGTCATTGGTAGGATCTGGGCCGTTGATGGTTCAGGCACGGTGAGCAACGGTCGTTTCGGATCGTGCAACCGAAAGCTTGTACCGGGGTTTGTCTAAACCAACATATCTGAGGTTCCGACGTCAGGATACATGCTTTGGCAATCCTGGAATCGATGGTTGGAAACATTGGACTTAATTGCGGATGGATAGGAATAACTGGAAGTTGAATGCTGCAAAGGTCAAAGTGAGACACACTTAACAAGACCCACCGGAAGTCAGCCATCAGGAAACTAACTTTTTTTAGATTGTATGTTTAATGAGCTCTCTACAATTGAGCATGTACTGGAGTCTCGAGCAGGAAAATAGGGGGTTACCTTATTATTACTGATCTGTTTGTGACTGTCTGATGACGGTACAAGAATAGCTTATACCGCGGGATGGGAAAACACATGGAGTATGGCCTGGTAACCGTCTCTGGTTGGACACAATTCTGGCGAGCTACCTATGACAGTCAGGCAGTGAAAGTGCCCGTTCTGCCAGCATTTGATACAACTGGTACGGTTCATTGAAGAGGTAGGATGTTTCGGGGAAAGAAGTTCGATACTATGAACATGCTATTCCATTATCGGCTGACGTGGAACTCAAATGACCTATCGCCTTTGCCGGTGGGAATTGCATTTACATCATTATCATAGAGCGTACGTTCAAAGTATCTCACTCTTCCATTCGCACTTACGAGCACCACGGTCTGTTTCTGAGTTCCGTATGCGCCCTGCAAGAATGACTTGTCCAGCGAATCATGCGGCGGTTGACTTTCGACTGGAACCCTGTCCGTATCGCGAGCTGCAGCAACCTCGTCGGCTGCCCTAGGTTTCTCTGCCCGTGCTCCAATAACTGGGACGAAGATACTTTGTCGTAGCAGGAGGAGGTAGGTTTCCAAAGTGGCGTCTCCCGAGAGCCTGGGGAGAGTATCCCTGCTCAGGACTTGAAGTAGCCGGTTGATGAGTTGATCTTCGTCTTCACCCGCTTGCGCATGCGCATTGATGGCCTCATTCATCAGCTTTTCCCCGTCGAGGATCTTTGGCCAGGAGCGATCGCCGAACGTCGTGTTACTGAGTCCCAATGTCTGACCCTTTTCTGTGGCAACCCAAGAGATCTCGTCCATATTGGCTGACCGGTTCGATACGATGGCTAGCGGCTCATTGACATAACCACAAACCAGGCTGAATCCGCCGACATTTTTGATCTCGGACGAGGCTACCATTCCCTGCACGAAATCTCTGGTGGATTGCCTTTGCTCGGGGTCCGCTGTAAGCCAGTTGTTGACAATCAGGCCTCGACTGTGTACCCCACTAGGCTCATCCGCTGTAGTCTCCCGATAGTTGGTCAGCACGGCTATTTTCCCTTCTTTTGTAAGCCCCATCCATGTCCCATGTGTGGCTCGAGCCAGATCTCTGCCTCCAAGAACGTTGGTGCTGGGTTCCGGCCACCAGTCGGCGAAGGATGTTGGACGACGGAGGAATTCCTGATTACTGTTAGTTTATGTAGGTAACAAGGTGCTCCGAGGCCGATATTCGCATACATCCCTGTTATCGATAACGATCAGAGGATAGGAGGGGTGAGCTGTGGAAATTAATGCGATGCACATTGTTGTTTGGTCGTATCAAACGCTTATAAGAACAACAACTAAATATCTGGGAGAAAGATAATATATAGAAGAATTGAAGCTTGCGTGCAGTCCAGGCTCCAGAGAGACAATTTCAGCCAGCTGATGGGTGGTATGACGGGGAGCTATGAAGCGCCAACGCCAAGTGTCGTTGTTGGGCACACGAACAAGAAGCAGGAAGGACCAACGCTCGTGAGGGGTAATCCACTGCTTAGCAATAAGTAATATCTGACCAAGAGAAGCAAAAGAGTCGAAGTTCGCCACTCGATGTTCAGATTGATCACAATCTCAAAGCATGGGCAGAGAGTCATAAGAGTTGGGCTGGCAGCTTGAGGTCATCAGACCCAACAGAGCAATACTGCCGGAAATATATCTACCGCCTTCTGCATTCACCACCGCTTTGTACATATAGCTATCCAATTTAGGCTTAGTCTCAAGCTGGCCTAAATCTGCTCAAGGCTCGAAACATTTGAGATCTCAGTCGATCCACAGTCAAATCGTTTCTTTGGCATCATATATCATGTTGTGATATCTTAAAGAACCTTGTTAATATGGAAGGTTCGAGCTGAAGACCAGCAATTAACTGAGCACGCGAGATGCCGTTGGTTTTAAACTCAATAATGGCATTCTGATCCATAACGTTCCACCTTTTGACCATCTCTGGTCCCGCAGTGGGCATTCCAGATTTCCATGGCTCAGGGTAACCTCGATTCCTGTTGATTTTGTACCAGGGGATTCAAGATGCCGACGTTTACAAATGCTAACTATTTTCAAGCGCAGAGAATATGACCTTCCGACTTGCCAAGTGCAGTTGAAAGATTGTAGCTCCAAAGCGAACTGGTCAACTGGCACTCCTTTCAAGTAGCCAAAAATAACTGTTCATTGTGTGATTCGGCTAAAGCCGAGATGAAGACCTGGGCCGAATAGGTAAATTTCCGTTGCCTAACGACTATGGTGCAAGTGTGCTTCTTGCATGAGCTCCTGGGCCCCAAGTCCTGTTCGCCTCGAATGCAACTCGTAACATAACAGCTTAGGACTTGTCGTTGGTCATGAAAAGCCGTCCCTGAAACCCGCACGATCCTTTATAACTGGACGGACCTTGGATCCATAACCCAAGATAGGTAATTGTATTGCCCGATCTCTATCTAGATTCTGCAGTAGCTGCACAGTGATTCGGATACACCGATGGCTAGGACCGGCATCTACGGTGATCGACACAAACTAGGCTCTTCATGGAGATTAAGCTGGCCAGTCATCTTCCAAATGTTTCGATGTGGCATCGCCACACATGCCAGATCAATAGTCAAACCTGCGAAGGTAGAGAAACACTCCCTCGGTAGGTATGATTCTTTGATAGAGTGATCATGATTCGTCACTTCGCATATGCCCGATGGCACAGCCTGGGTGCTACAGGTGGTACTAGAACAGTCAGGCAAGAGCCAGATGAAACATGAGTGACCAGAATTCCATGCGCAGTGACCTCATCCAAGATCTTGTCAAGCATACATAGCATAAGAATCACTATGAAGAAGATGGTTGCATTGTTCGTCGTCCTCATTGTTCTTGTGCCCCCTTTCCCCACCTTGCGTCCATTATAGGGCCTCGGCTAAAGTCACGTTCCGCTGGCATACTTCATAAACAGCGAGGATCCATCCCAGAGAAATATGGGATTTGAACTGCCAGAGTCTCTAGTCTTTCATCCGTTTAACTTCCTATTACGATGGGTTTGCCGCTTCTGACGATCGCGGCTGTGGCTGTTGCCCTCCGTCTGCTGTGGACGCTGGTTACGAGATGGCAGCACGCGCAAAATGCCCGCCGACTAGGCTGTGGTTCAATCCCTCTTTATCCTAGTGATCCTCTAGGTATCAGTGTTCTCAAAGAGGCTTTGGCAGCAGATAAAGCGAAAAAGCTTCTACCGATGGTTGAGCGCCGAGTCGCGCTCATGAGCGACCGCGAGGGCCGATATGTTACGACCTTCCGGTTCAGGCAAATGGGACGTGAAAATTATTTCACAACGGATCCGAAGAACATCCAAGCCATTCTAGCCACTCAATTCAAGGACTTTGAGCTGGGCGCTCCTCGACGGCAAGCTCTACACCCCCTTCTAGGTGCTGGCATTGTAGGTTTTGCCCCATGAATATGCAGAATTTGTGAGGCATGCTAACAACTTGGGTGTAGTTCAGTTCTGATGGCGAGGAATGGTCTCACGCCAGAGGTCTGCTCCGTCCTCAGTTCACGCGTGATCAGATCAGTGATCTTGACCTGGAAGAACGGCATGTGCAAAAGGCAATGCAGGCGATGCCTGTCGTCAACGGAAAGTGGACCGACGCAGTGGACATCCAGTCCATCTTCTTCCGTCTCACCATCGACTCTGCGACCGAATTCCTCTTTGGAGAGAGCGTTGAGAGCCAGCTGTCGGCCCTGAACGGTGGTCAGACTCCCGTGGACAAATTCCCCTACTACTTTGACAAGTCGCAATGGTACGCAGCACAACGGGCTCGCTTCGAGAAACTGTACTGGATCGTGAACAACAAGGAGTGTCGCCACGCGGAGAACGAGGTGCACGCATACGTGGACCGCGTCGTGCACAAAGCGCTCAAAGCCGCCCGCGAAGGCAAGCTCGCGAACCCGGACAAATCGTCCCAATACGTCTTCCTGCACGCTCTGGTTTCTGTGACTCAGGACCCGATCGAACTGCGCTCGCAGCTGTTGAACATCCTCCTCGCGGGGCGCGATACCACCGCGTCCCTGCTCAGTTGGACAGTGCTGATGCTCGCACGCCACCCGGCAGAGTTCCACAAGCTCCGACAGACCATCGTCGACGAATTCGGGACTTACGACCAACCCCGCAACATCACCTTCGCCGCCCTCAAGTCCTGCCAATACCTGCAATACTGTCTGAACGAGACCCTGCGTCTGTTCCCCGTGGTCCCCGGCAACCGCCGCTCCGCGACGAGGGATACCACCCTCCCCCGCGGCGGAGGCAGCGACGGCACCCAGCCCATCTACATACGCAAGGGCCAGCCCGTCGTCTACAACGTGCACATTCTGCACCGGCGCAGGGACGTCTGGGGGCCTGATGCCGAGGAGTTCAAGCCGAGCCGCTGGGTCGATCGCAAGGTAGGCTGGGATTATGTCCCGTTCAACGGCGGGCCGCGCATCTGCATCGGGCAACAGTTTGCCCTCACCGAAGCGGGGTACGTTCTGGTTCGGTTGCTGCAGCGCTTCGACGCGATTGAGGACGTGCAGCCGCATCTGGAGATCCGGCATTCTCTGAATCTGACCAGTGCTCCGGCGGATAATGTTACTGTCCGGCTTCGCGAGGCCGCGTAACTAGCTTCTTAGGGTTTCTCACTTTGTAGTCGCATTCGCAGTGTATTTGCTTAATATACACAACCAATATTTATGATACCAGTTTTGCATGACAAATGAGCATATCAAACCTAGAAGTGGTAACCAGCCTTCATTCAAGAGAACGCCTGCATCAATTCATCACTATAATTTATATAATCTACTACCCAACCATTATCAACATTATATCCCTGGTAACCCACTAACAGCAACACTCGCAACACTCAAAACAAGCAAGCCCCGCACATCTTCACCTATATATTAGCACCAGCACTCATCATATAGTACAGGAAAGGAAAGGAAAAACCTACACTCCACAGCAGATATCCTCCTTCTCACCGCTGCCACGTAGTCTCATGTCCATTTGTTCTTGTGCGGGCTAGACAATAGGGTAAGCGTAAGTTCATACTGTATTAGTAGGAAAGGGATGGACGGTTGGAAGGATGCGTACTGGCTGCTAGGAGATGAGTTGAGTGGGTGCCGCAGGTGTAGATGGCTGTGTCATGGCAAGGGTGTCAGGGTCCCAGGTAGGTTGCTGGCGCTCTTGCTTTTGGAACTGAAGGGGTTGAGGTTGAACATGTTGAACATGATGAGCTTGTTATATGTATGTGTATGTGCTAAGCGATAGCTGGGGGTCCTTGCGGTAGACCGATGAGCTGAGAGACACTGGGCTTGAGATGAGCGGGACGGGACGGTGAGATTTATTTCATTGCTGAAGTTACTAGCCCGGGGCTAGATAGTCTTGTTTCATTCTGAGATAGTGTCTGATCATATCCTCCAACTAGACTTCTCTGTAGGAATCATGCTGCCTGGTGAGTCGGCACATGATCTGGTTCTGCTTTGTTGATGGTGTGTCTCCAGGTGGCATGGCGCCGGGGCCTGCATTGGCGGTGGTTCATTGGATGTATCATAGATCCGAGCTTCTTTAGCTGGGTGTGTTGTAGTGTGTTGTCAGTGCATTAATCCCTCATAGTTCACAGTATCTTGTGATTGCACTAGAGAGGCCGTTATCTACTTGAGTGCCCATCGGTTGCTGCCAGCCAGGCTACTACTGTGTCTCCATTATGCCCAGAGTCTAAGGCGAACAAGCCTCCTTGGCACGGCTTATCTTGGTCTGCTCTTGGCTTGATCATTACCTAATTTATTGAGGTGTATACACTGGATTGAGACTGACTGTCTATACCTTCCTCTTGACCAATCCTCGGAAGAAATCAAAACTGTTGCTGTCACTCTGCAACTGCCACACTCGTCCCGTAGGTCGATCGTCCCACCCCAACTCCTCCGCCAGCAGCAACCCATAATCCCGAGTGATACCCTTGATCCGGGCTCGCGCTCCGCCTTCTTCCTCTAATGTGACAACCTGGTGCATGTGCAGCCAGTCGTCGTAGTACATGGTCTCAAACTCCCGGTCAAAGCCTGTCCGCAGGAAGCGGGCGTACAGCTCCTCGAACGTGGTGAGGCACCGGGCCAGGAGTTTCTCGAGTGTGATTGGGGCGGATTTATTGGAGACAAAGCGAGAGGCTAGTGCATTGAGCGAGGTAGTTGGAGAGGCGTTCGTGGCATTGATGCCGATTCCCACGACGGCGATGTATTCGTTCGAGGAGAAGAGCGAGTTGATGAGGATTCCGCAGATCTTGGTATAGTGCTTCTTGTCCGGGTTTTCGGGGTCCAAGGCATCTGTACTCATTAGCTAGCCCTATTTGGATGAGAGGACCGAACTTACAAACGTCATTGGGCCATTTGAGCTTGACTGGCATGTTCTCAAAGCCCACGTCGTAGCTCTTGATGCCCCGTACGACCGCCATTGCCGCCAGATACTGAATGAAAACCACCGGGGCAGACTGGATCTTTTCGATCGGGTGCCTTACGACCGTCGAAAAGATCAGGGCCCCTGCTGGAGAAACCCAGACATTGGAGCCTCGGCCGCGGCCAGCGACCTGGGTGGTTGCTGTCGCTGTGAATCCATGCGGCAGTTTACGGAGTAATTTGGGGTTCCTGTACCAGTCAGCTCTGAAGATAAAATGTTCAGCTTAGACATACTTTTCCAGAATCGTATTTGTACTAGTGACCACCTCGCCATACATGATGCTCGAACCGAAACAGCCAGTACCTTCCCGCATCTGTGACTGGTACTGTTCAAGATTGGCGTAGAATGCATGGTGATTGAAATAAGGAGTTGCTTTTGAGGATGGAAGCTCATCGTGGATCACCAAAGGTTTGATGATTGCGTTGTAATCGACAATACCCTCGCTTGCACCCTGTTCAGACTGAGGCAGAGACTCCTCCAATGAACTCATACTCCAAGTTCCAGATTTCTCGAGACGAAACGTATCGTTTTCATCTTTGATGAATTCTTCATCCCCCTCGGCGCTAATCACCTCTCGCAACGACGATCGGATGCGGGATGTATCAGCCGGATTCTGAGACGACAGGTGCAACGACGAAAGTGATGGCACAGTCGTGGTATTCTGAGTGACCTGCACGCCCAGCTTGGATAAACATGCCTTCAAGAAGTCGGTGCGAGCTTTATCGTCCGCTGCCAGCGCATCCACCACTTTGGCATATTCCTCGCCCCCAGCCTTTTTGTCCAGGTTTGCCGCTGCGAACCTGTTCATTGCGTCAGTCAGTTGCCCCTTGAATCCTCTGAAGAACGTACTCTGGATGCGGTCCGGTCAGAATGGCCGCTCCCTCGCCCACCTTACAGTAGACGACAGCAGCCGCACCGGTGCCAGGATCAACATTCAATTCCTCCGTGTAGCTGGCCAAAACCTCCACGCCCTTGTCGGCATACAGTGGCGCATCAACAAAGACCCCACCTCCGTTGTAATAGCACTTGAACCCCTCCGGCACCACACCATCTTGCAGTACATCCTTGGAGACCTTGAGGTCGGCCGCGCGCGCGCCCACCTCGCTGTGGTACACAAACCCCGGAAACGCACCGCCGCGACATATCCCGGGGAAAAACGCCAGTTCCCGATCCCCGACCACCTCCATCGTCTTATCGCCGACCTCGAACTCGCATCGCTGGGAGCCGTAGTAACCCCCCGCGCAGAAACCGAGGTAGGCGCCGCCGCGCTTGACAAACTGCTCGATGCGGCGGTTGCCCGTGCCATTGAGGGATCGACAGTACCCCAGATCAGCTCCTCCGGGTATCACCAGCAAGGCGCAAGTTAGCGTCCATGGCTCCTTGATGAGCATGTCGGCGGTCACGGGGATCACGGCATAGTGCGGGGCGAGGAGGCGGCGGAGGGTGTAGAGGCAGTGTCGGACGGATTCGACGGTGCTACCATTGCCTGGAGAGGGGGAAGAACTGATTAGATTATTTGATCTCCATGCGGATTGGGTGAGCGAACCGGAGTAGACTAGAACGTTGAGCTTCTTGCCAGTGAGGTTGGGCGTGGTTGCGGTCATGTCGCGAATGCGGCGAGTCGGTCTCCGAACGGACGAACGGTCAATTCTTTCTCAAACACAACTCACAGGCTTATACAGCTCACGTTAGAGCAATTGAACAAGATGTCGAAGAAGGAGGATAAGCCCGCGGTGGTCCCGGAAGTGGACGACGATGAACCTGATGAATGGTAGGATTTCTTGTTTGGACTTGATTCTCGGAGATTGAAGATCTGGACTAATGCGGAGTCATCGGGGGACAGGGACAAGCGGATCTTCAGCACCGGTTGCGCAGGTGAGTTTACAATCAAGATTATGGGCTGATAGACAGCTGCTAATTGAGGATCAACAGTGGAGCAGGATAAAATGAACGACTGCTATTTTACGAAGAAGGACTGGAGACTGTGCAAGGACGAGGTGAGTCACGATGAGACTGCTGCAGCTGAATACAAGCACTGCATCATCCCCCATCTAGCTTTGGTTTCCACCTTATCGTATGTACCTGAGAATCGAAGCTGATGAGTATGTCTGGCAGATGGAAGCATTTCGCGAGTGCTGGAAGCGCAAGGGCAATGACCAGCGGACTCAAACCAAGGATGCTTAGGGCCAGAGAACGAGTCAATTGGATATTTAGCCTGTACTATAGATGTCTCTATTGTAATCATATATAGACATCACCACTTTCCAGCTCAATCTCTGCCAATTCAGACACTGTAGGTATTGACCATGTAGATCACGTGACATTATACAGACGCGACGTCAAGCTCATCTCCGCATGAGAAGACCTACCAACGAACCATACTCACCCCACCATCAGCATGGCTTCATCGCATATGCGCCGCTCTCTGCGGCTAATAGAGTCTACAAACTTTACAAAAGTTCCATCTAGACTGCACTCCCGATCCACCAGCCAGCACATCCTCGCCCTTACCAGATCAATCACCACCACCTCTTCCTACAAATCCATCACCACCAACAACAGCAACAACCCAGCAACCCGGACAGCCCCCAAACCTCCTATTGCCTCTACACCAACCCTGCCAGCAAAACCATCCACCACCTCCACCGCACCCGCACCCACAACAGACGACCGCACCGCCCGCATCCTCGCCCCAACACCCACCCACCAAACCACAACCAACATCTCCAAAACCGGTTTCGCCGACGCCCCTCTCTCGCCGGACTCACCCCCCGAAGAAAAAATCGACTGGACGCGCTCCTTCCACGGGCTCTCCGCCGCGCCGTTCCCCAAGGAAGTAGCCGATATCCTCCTCGCGGAAGTCGACCCCGAAGAAGTCGAGATCAAGCCCGATGGCATCCTGTACCTCCCCGAGATCAAGTACCGGCGGATCTTGAACCGGGCATTTGGGCCGGGGGGTTGGGGCCTTGTGCCGCGGAGTGAGAGTATTGTTACGCCGCGCACGGTGACGAGGGAGTATGCTTTGGTTTGTAATGGGCGGTATGTATCTTGCTTCGCTTTGGGAGGTAGAGTAGGGGAGACGTGAATAAGGGCTAATGGGTGTACAGGTTAGTGTCTGTCGCGCGGGGCGAGCAGGATTACTTCACGCCGGATGGGATCCCGACTGCAACAGAAGGGTGTCGGTCTAATGCGCTGGTGCGCTGCTGCAAGGATCTGGGGATTGCGAGCGAGCTGTGGGATCCGCGGTGGATTCGCAAGTTCAAGGCGCAGTATACGCGGGAGGTGTTTGTCGAGCATGTTGTTAACAAGAAGCGGACGAAGATCTGGGTGCGCAAGGATGATCAGGTGTCGTATCCGTGGAAGGAGACCGGGACTAAGTAGTGGACCAGTACGTTCCGGGATTGATGACGGCGTGACCGTCAGATGTATATTATATGCGAATAGAATTCTCGTTACGTTCTTCGAATTACTTGTTGATTGGCTAGTTGGACATAGATTTCACAGCCCACTATATGCATCAGATCATCACCCATATTCCATACCATACCAATACAAAAATGAATCAAAATACCACCAACGCCATCCGTTTTGTGCTCAGTAACCTGACTATTGTCCTCCATACGGCGGCCGAGACTGATTCCAATTCCTGGAATGGTCATCAGGGTAGCGCTGTTGCACCCCCGGCGAACCGGGGAACCTTCGGTAAGAGTCCGAGTCGGAGTGCTCTATCGCCGACGGGAGCTCGAGCGGCTGCTCCGGATCGTACGCCGTCTCCTGGCTATGAGATCCGTAGAAACTACCTCCGTAGTTGGACATGCTGGGATACGAGGGATACTCGGAGGGGATCCCCTGTGATGCAGGGGCTGCCGGCGGCTGCTGGCGAGGAAGAGGGGGCACGGGCTCCGCGATGATGGGGACTCCGCCTGCGGTGGGGGAAGGCTGGGCGGGTTGCTGGTCGGTGGTGCTGGTACCTGCCTTGCGGCGGCCGGTGGACGGTTCACGGCCGAGATTGCCGTAGTTGACGCTGAGTTGGCGGTTCTGGTTGGGCGAGGCGGCGGGGGTCTGGTAGTTGTCCACTTCGTTCGGGGTGCGACTGTTGGAGCGTTCCAAGTAGCCCGAGTCGGTGGAGGAAGAGCCGCCGCGGCGTTGTAGCGTGCCGGATGACTGGCTGGCGCTGAAGCCGGTTGATCGAGCCTGTTCCTGGGCGGCTGCATCCACGGTTGTCCCGGCCGCTGCTGCGCGTCGCTGGCCGGAGGCGGTCCGCGTGATGTTGTTCTGCTCTGCGTTGTCGGCGTCGGGCTTGTCGGGCTTGTCGTCCTTGTTCTCGCTGTCGCCTGCGGCGTCCTCCGCGGCAGCACCAGGAGCGCGGATGGGAATCTTGCGCACGGCGCTAACCAAGGCGCACATGAATTTGGAGCGACGCATGGCACGGATCGACTCGTTAGCCCAGTTGGATTTGTGGCGGATGCTGACGGTCAGCTCAAGCTTATCCATGTCGCCGACACCAACCACGTCAAGGTCGACATCCGGCTGGAAGTCACGGTAGTTCTCCTTGTCACGGACGAATCTTTCCATCTCATCGCGGAGGAGCTGGATGTCGGCAAATGTAGTGTCGAAGCTGACGGGAATCTTGAGTGTTTCGTGCATGGCGTTGGAACGAGTGAAGTTGTCAACCCAGAGAGTGTTGAGGACAACGTTGGGCACCTGAGTCACGCGCTGATCCGTCACCGATTTAAAGACGGTATACAGCAGCGAAATGCGCTCGACTATGTAGTCCTTTTCGCTAATCTCGACCCGGTCACCAATATCAAAGGGATGCTTGACGAACAGGAAGATGCACGAGCCCAGGACTTCCTGGGCGGTTGTCGCGAATACGAAACTGAGAGAGAGAAGAGAGGTAGCGCCGGCCGCGATGACGGTACCGAAACCGCTCGTCACAAACGAAATGAAAACCAGCACCGCGATAATACCGGCGACGGTCAGCAGCAAGTTGTCCAAAACATGGATGGCCTGGTCGACATCGTACATGCTGTTGTTGAGGGCCTTTCGGTTGCGACCAATCTCCCCGACAACCATAACCATCTCGTCCAGGCTGATATCACCGTTGCCGTCGCGATCGAGCATATGGAAACATTCCTCAGCGATCATCTCTTTGCCGGCTCCCAAGACCTCGGCGATGTCGTCGGGGTATAGAGCATCCCTGCCCTCAATGACAAAAGACATCCAGATTCGGCGTGCTAAAGCTTCGGCGGCCTTTCGGCGCTCCAGGGCCTGTGTGACAATACCGCGCACGGAAGTGGGGTTGAACACTTCTTTGCCGGTGATTTCGTGGGCGACACCACCAAAGGCGGCAGTAACTCGGTCACCAAATCGACCAACGTTATGACCGACATTGCGAATCAGCTTGAGGGGCATCGAGGAGCTGGAGCGCGAGTGGACGGGTCCCTTCGCGGTGGCTGCAGTCAAGAGCGAATCGGAAATGATCATATCCTCCTCGCGAAACTCCTTGCAGTACATAGGGAACATGTTGCGGGAGGCGTCGTAAAGCTGACCAATAAGCTCAATGTTCCGCTTCGACTCCTTGATCTTCAAGTCGAATTGCTTTCGGTGGTAGCTGATGGAGATGAGCTGGACCAGGAATTTCTCCGCCAGCAAAATCAAGCTACAGACAAACAAAGCGAACAAGATATTCTTGACGGATTTCTCCCAGGGCTTGGTGGAATTATCGCCGGTCCGCTTCTTCTCGGGGTTATATGTCATAACCGGAAGGAAAGTCACCAACGAGACAATGGTCCAGAAGACCGTCGCGATGGGCAGTTCTAGTGCGCGCAGGATGAGAGCATACTTGCGAGTTCCCGGGCTGACAATTCCACAGAGGAACTGAAACAGGTATGGGAGAAAATGAGCGATAATTTTGCAAATCCACAAACTCAACCAGACAACCTCAATCCAGGCAAAGAACCAAGGCAGTGTCACGCCGCCAATTCTCGCATCTTGCGCAGCCGTGGCTCCCACAATGATTGGAATCGCAATCAAGAGCGCGATCGGGGTGACATAAATAATGTACCTCGTAACGATAGAGAAGTTGAGAATGGCCTGGTAGATTCTCCCCATCCGCGTGAGGGTGCCATCTTCAGGTTCCTCGAGCGAACGGCCCGTCGAGTCGTCAACGGTTCTCTTGCGACGGCCAGGCCCAGTACCGGCGACCAAACCAGCCTTCTCGCTGGTGTTGGTGTGAACATCCTCAATGGGAGGGTGGTAGGCCGCTGGAGAAGTGGCCGTGTGCGCACTCCCCCTCCGCGCCCCCGTCGGAGTGCGACTGGGGACATTGGTCAGGGGAATATCAATCGTAACGTCGTGTGGACTGGCCATTATGGTATCATTTGAGTAATCAGGAAGCGGTTGAAAGCGATGGGCCGACAAACGCTTCTCCGTGAGTCCAGGTCGACCGGACATCGAAACGAACGAGAAGGAGAGAAAACGGGTCCAATGACCACGATTTCTCTGACTTTATACTTTTGACTGTCTGACACTAACCCAGAGGGAAAAGCGAGCAACGGCCTAGAAGCTGACCTGCAGCCCTGACAAGGGAAATTGAGTGGGGCGAAGGGCCAGCGAACCAGTGCCTGGGTTTTTGCGACAAGCCAAGCGAGCTATTATCACCCGAGATCGACTCGTTGATCCAGAGAAAAGCGATCTGATTAGGCGCGAGGCCGTTTGAACCGGCGCCCTCCAAGGATTGACCAAATACGTAGACTCGACACAAGCGAAAGAACCAGAGGCCGACGGCGTGCGGGGACAGTGGAGTGGTGGGCCGAACCAAGCGAAGCAAGAAAGACAAGAAGAAGAAGAAGAGAGAATGCGATTGAGCGATTGGAAAGACAGACTGGGGTTAGTGGCCAGATGGGGAACGAGAGGTCAGTATGATCTAATGCGATGAAGATCAGATCGAAGAAAGAAACGAAACAAACTGAGCGAGGAAGAAGAGAGAGATTCGATGGAGAAAAGGAATGAGGAAGAAAGAAAAACGGGGCCTGAGGCAATAACTCCATAGAATGTATGAGTCTAATAATAAAATATTTCACTAAGGCATCAACCATGGACAATAGCTCACTGGAGAGAGAGAGAGAGATAAAATTCTATTGGGGCAATGTTTCACCATTCCAGGAACAGAACGCCACCGATCAGTCGTCGAGGCAGTGGATCAATCATCACATCATACTACGTATTTTCATCGGTCCAGGGATTTCCGGCTGATTTGACGGTCAGAGTGTCGACGTGTTTCTAGGAGACCGAGCATTCTTGCGCGTGGTCACATTCCTACTATCATGAATGTGGTTCCTCAGCAATGACTAGGAACATAACATCCTAATACAGAAGATATGCCAGAGATACGGAGTACTCTGTACATACTTAAGTTAGAAGCTAGTCCCATATGAGTGGGAAAGATCTCAGGTTGCAGCCTTCTATTAGGAAAATAATCAATCAATCAGAGTTGCAGGGCAAATAGAAGCAAGTGGCTATTGGTCGCTAGGGTTTTGTGCCACCCACAGAGTCGACTTTTATTGGGTTCCTCAGTAGACAGTATTCTGGTATCGTAATAGTCTCAAACGGACAATTCCGACAAGCCACCGTTTCATCATCGTCTTAGCTGAGGCCTTGGAAAAAGTCTGCTCAGTCTAGACTGGACACGCTGACATTCTTCAGTATGGATTATGGATTCGTGACCTGAGATTCGAATCACTCGATAGTCTAACGGTCGAGTTAACTGTCTGAGTTTCAGTGAAGTCTTGGTGCAACCCTTGGATGTATATAGAGTAGATCGCATCCATCCTGATGCACGTATACAGAGCAATCGCATCCATTACGATTGCATCATATTAACTCCTCACATATGCCACTGTCCTGCTGTGAGCACATATTCTCTGCACAATTCCAAGTAATGGGTCAAGATCATCTGGTTTTCGTCACGTTTTCCCCGCAACCACGGATCCCTTGTTATTCACATTTATGGGTCTCATACTTCAGTCTGAGCCTACTGACTTCTTGCTGACGATCCTTACTTCCAACTCAAGCCATATGCCGAATCGGCCCATCACATCCTCCCGCACTCGACTGGCAAACTCCAGGACATCAAAGCTATTCACGCTGCCGTAGTTCACTATGACGAGAGCATGCTGGTCATACACTCCCACGCGCCCAATTCTCCTGCCCTTCCAGCCGCATCTCTCGATCAGCCAAGCTGCTGGGATCACTTTGGAGCCGTCGGCCCTCGAAAACACAGGGACCGCTGGGTGAACAGCCTGCAGAGCGTCGTACGCAAGCTGGTCCATGACTGCGTTCTTGAAGAAACTGCCCGCATTTCCGAGAAACTCTGGATC